AGTTACGAAGAAGTCGGTAAACATTATCTAGAATGTGTCTAGGATAAGTGTGTGAGTACTTCTTGTAATTATCGTTCTATAGTGGATTTGTGTTGGACTGATAAGTCCCGTGGATTTTCCCCAGAGGTGGGGTTTTACCACATAAAATAATTCTCTGCGCGTTCTTTTATTTTATGCCCAGCACATTTCAGGATTGATAAGCCATATCAATCCTGTTGCCGAAGTTTATTTTTTATTTATTGATTATAATCTTGAATTGGCCTATTCACCCCCCTCTAGGCATATATAGACATCCTACAGGTATTTTCACTCTATTATTTCTATGCTAGCCTTGTATACATTTGTTCATTTCAAAAATGAATTTCATTATCAAAACTTGGAAATATACGGCTAAATTGCTTAAAACATCGGTGCCCTAGTTCCACTCTTCCACTTTCACGAGAGAAAATAGAAGAAACTTTTATGTATTCTCCATGCTATATAGTTGATTTGTTTTCTTATGGGTTATACTTTATAGTCTATAGACAGCCATGATGCTTTGTGAAGGTAAGTGAACTATGTATGCGAATAGTATGAAGGCTTCAATTGATTTGACTCCCCAATGAAACATCAAATGGACCCAAGGGCTAGAGGTGATTTCGTATGATCATCAAGCCATCTACAAGGTTAATTGAATTATATGTTTGTATCGGCACGGTACATGATAGTTCATCATATAAAAGAGTTGCAGAGAGTACTTCGTCAGGCCTCAACATATATTCTCGTGCCTTTACTCTAGTCACCAGTGAGTGCCAATTGGAGCCTAGGTGACTTATTCTTTGCATCTAAAACTTTTACAGGCCTAAACAATAGATATATGGTATACATCTGAAATTACTCACTATATATATATATATATGCACGAGAGCCCTCAAGCGCTAGCCGGTTAGTAAGTTAATATGACTGTCAACGCAAATGCACAGCAGGTCAATGGTTAGGAGTGAGAAGAATCAAATATGTGGGAAAGCAGGTCAATGGTTAGGAGTGAGAAGAATCAGATCCTGATTCTTCTCCCTTGATGAGTGCATTTGCGTTGACAATGACGCTGATATGTGGGAAAGGTTACAATATTTATATTTGTACAACGGAGATATAAATGGTAATAGTCTTAAATAATAGTAAATACAGAATATTTGCACAGCAGGTCAATGGTTAGGAGTGAGAAGAATCAGATCCTGATTCTTCTCCCTTGATGAGTGCATTTGCGTTGACAATGACGCTAACTGCTAGTTTGGCCCACTCTATAATGTTATCGTATGATTTAGAACCATTCAACTTTTAAGTCATCATTCAAAAATCATCATTACAAAAAAATAAGTCAAATTCGAAATCGTTTCACCATTTGATTATTATTGGAAATATCTTCCTTCAAGGGAATTATGTGGGTACAATACAAGTAAAAGACCGTAAAATATTGAAAAACAGACATCCCTTCATCATGGTGCATCTGCACTGAGAAGTGGAGTGGACTCAGTAAAGGCCACTTCAGTATATTCCGTGCTTGGTTTCCTTTCAACCTCTTCTCCATGAGTCTTCTTGCACTCATAGTAGAGGACTGTGTATGACATGTATAAAAACATGGTGATCAGGCAGGTTATAGAATATGAGAAGATAGTTGGAACCATTCTTGCATTCTCTGGAAAGGCTACAGTCCCAATCGTCACCAAACCATTGAACATAGACATAGAGAATGCTACAAAAAGATTCAGAAAAAACCCACGTAGCTTTGATCCCTTGACAAGGCGTGCAGCTTTTCCAAGAGCCTCAATGCCACATATGTCTTCCAGTACTGAAACAACGAGGGCTAAACTCCAGACAACATCTAGATAAGTTCGGAAAAATAGAGCTACAACAAATAAGATCATAGAGAAAGCCAGTATGGTGAATGTAATATTGAAAATCAGCACTAGTAAAAGAAGCAGAAGTGCTACTAGAAGACAATAGCCTAGATCAAGCAGCTTTATGTATAACCAACTGACAACCGTTCTCTTCAGCGCTTTCGCTGCCCATAATAGAAGTTCCTTGGTAGATAAGTCTTTTCTGCAGTATGTTACTGCTGATCCTATGATTGAAGCTGTTACGAAGAATAACGAGGTAAAACAGAACGCACAAAAGAAAATAAAACCTAGTCCAACACATAACCGGAGGTTATCTGTCATAGTCAACAGAAGCTTGGTCAATTCGGCGCTAGTGGTGGTATTATTAACTTGTAGACTCTTTGCTTCGGTGGAAAGTACTTTGATGCAGATTTTAAAAAAAGCCATGAGGATAGAATCAAGAAAAATTATAAGCAGCGTGACGGAAGACATGAGCTTCAAATTTTTGGGAAAAAGTTTCGAGACGTCCCTTACCATTCTCAGAAAATCCAGAAGCATATGAAACCCCATTAGGAATGGAAGATGTATATTCTTCAAACCAATATTTCCTACCATTGTAGGTTTGTGTCAAGTTTGAAAACTAACACTCACTTCTATCACACTCTCAAAGACACATTGAAAAGGAAGGAGCAGAGAAGATTTAATTTCCAGAACTTGATGCACAACAGAATGGTTTGGCAGCTTTATATAGGAGAGACTAATGAAGAAGGAAATTAATAAAATGGTGCTGAATACAAGGGGATGGTGAAAACAATGTACAACTATGTGAAAAATAATAATAATACATGTCACAATCATCAAAGCTTTTGATTTGTTTTTATCTTTCGAACATTGCCCCTCAAATCAAAACGGTTTTATGCCGAAGCATGGTTTGTACCGTCACGGTTGATACATCATGGTTCATCTGTTAGCACAGAGTTGCAGGGTACAATTAATAAAGAAAAAAACATTAACCATGCTAAGGATTGCAATTACTGGACTGACTACTTCTATTCAAGAGCCTGATGAGAAGGCATTATTTTGACGGTTTCAACTCATTTTTTACTTGCCAATATAGCACCAAGGTGACTTATTCCTATCCTTGT